GACCCACCCTCTGGTTGGGGTCTCTTCCCCATGCTTTTTTCTGAAGCAGTTGTTCGGACGGGAGGAGAGCTCTCAATACTTGGAGCACTTGATTGGGAAGCCACAGAGGGATTGTCGTTCAGCGGGTGGAACCTCGGTCGAGATTGATCTAGGAAGTTCGGATATAGGTTGCTCAGAGTTCAGTTGAGCAACTGGAACAGTTGCAAGAATAGTCGTAGGAAGACCTCCTTGAAGGTTCCTCCTCCTGCTGAATGAGGGAATTTGAATATTCTCCATACTGGCACCCAGAACTGATATGTCAGAGAGATTTTTTGGTGTAAGTAGATCGGTAGTGGAAGGAATATTGTTCAGCATTTTTTCCTCCGGATAATCAATTCTGGACTTGCAAACGCTGAAAACCAATTCATCATGAGGAATGCTAAGGGAATGGCAAAGAAAAGTACAGAAGCGTGGAAGGCAAATTTCACAAGGGCAGTCACTTTTATGTTTTTTAAATTTTTTGTATAAAGAGACAGAGCACTCCCTAAAAGTGTCGGAATAGGAAAATCTCTAGAAGCTGGAGTGAACCAATCCCCTCTGACCCCAATTAGATTACTTTTCCAACCCTTTTCAGAAATTGAGCTTATCCGCACATATGGAACGTTTTTCGATTGGGAACAGGTGGTAATACATATCATTAATCCTAATCTTGCTGACCTGTAACAAAGGAGAAGATCCAAAATGTCAAGATCTAAACCCCTATCACGATTTAGGATAAAGAGAACTGATAATACCCTAAGGAAGTTGGGATTCACTTGGAGAGGGGTAAGCCATATTCTATTAAAGACATAGCAAAAGAAAGGGTGTAGGAGGAATCTAAGTATGTTTAAATGAAGAATAGAAAATAGGATCTCTGTCGGAAGAAGACCCTCACCAGTCCTTACGTTCACCTCCTCGGGACACTCTCTGATGATAACATTTGTAGGGATTTCATACCTTGCACGAAGAATCTCCAAGTCAAGAGTCATTGGTGCGATTGAAGAAATTCGCAGATCTACAAAGAAGAAGGAGAAGAAATCCGCTTCTCCCACGTCATCTTCTTGAGCCGTCACATCATAAGTGTGTCTCTTCGGTAATCTCACCCTAATCAATTAGGAAGAGATTAGGGGGCAAGTGAAGATACCAAAAATGAACTGGGCCAGATGTGACCTACCTAACTGAAAACCGGTACCAGATCAAGGGAAGAGCTACTGGCCCGATCAACTGACAGCCCAGTAAGCCAAATTCTCATTATGATAATCTCCAGGCCCAGCCTCAACGGAGAGGGAGTAAACCCATACCCAAAGAAAAGAAAAGCTCAAAGGATTGGCCCAACATGAAGGATAAAAGAGGAAGTTTCTAGAATAGTTGTAAAGCTCTATAAATATAAGGAAAAGAAAGGGAAAAGGGGTTGAGATATTTTTGATGTGTAACAAATTAGTTTTCCAAATTGAGACTGTTTATTGCATTTTCAATTTCTATTAGCATTTTTTATTTTTAATTTATAAAAGTAGAAGCATTTTTTTTTATTTTTATATACATTTTCATATTATTTATTTAAAAAATAAGGTTATTCCTTACATTAAAAGTGTATTAAAAAAAGTACATTCAAAGTTTTTCAATTTTTAAAAATATATATATTTTTTATTCTTTTACGAAGGCCAATAATTTTCGCCCATCAGCAGCTCCAGGAGATTAAATATTTTCCTATATGCTTTTATGAAAGCCAAACACTCCCAACAGTTTTAGTCCATCCATCCCATGTCTAACAAATTTAGCCCAATCCAATGTCACTGCGTTCTCATTTTGACGAATTATTTATTTATTTATTTATTTTCGCATACATTCAAACCAGGTTAATTACACCTTTTAATTTACTTGCACTTCTTCAACATTTTTTCATTTATTTATTCTATTCGTATTGAATTTAAATGTTAAGGAGAATTACAAAGAGTTTGAACAAATTTAACTTTGTATATGGTTCTGTTCGCGCGGTTTTTGTTCCCTACGCCGGTCGATGGACTCTTCGCGGGCGTGCCAGAGTATTTATACAAAATACCCAAAATATGTAATTGAACACCAGCCTATCCCTTTTTCCGATGGCTGACTCTCAGGCGATTGTGTGGGAGAGAGACTAGTAAGAACTCCCAGCAAGTTTCTTTTATACCTTGTTTGTAGTAAGGACTTTTTAGAGTGTCTAAAGAAATGCAACGGCTGATGAATGTTTGAATGGATGGAATGGCTGAGTGAAGACAGGCGGCAAGAACTTAATCAATCGCCGGTCGAACGTGATGGCGAGAACTTAATCAATCGCCATCAGCCAAACACAATGGCAAGAATTTAATCGATCGCCACTGAAACGTGATAGCAAGAATTTAATCAATTGCCATCAGCCAAGTAATGACAAGAATTTAATCAATTGTCACTACGATTCAATGGCAAGAATTTAATCAATTGCCATTGAATTGAAAGCCTAACTAAAATTGTGTAATTAAAATTGGCATAATTGAAATTAAAAGAAAGTAAATGGCTGAATTGAAATAGTTGACAATGATCTAATCAATTGCCATTAAATTGAAATAAAGAAATTGATAGGAAAAAATGACGTAGAGTCAATTGAAAACATTTTTAGTTGAAATGCATGTTTTGTGGTGGTGCTGGACCAATTGGAATAGGAATACAATACTTCTATTTATAGAAGTTCTATCTCAACTTATTTTCCTAAGTTATTGCTAAAAAATCTCTCATTCTTTGATTCTTTTTCTTCACAATTTGAACTCAGTCAAATCCTATAGTTATTCCGCTTCCTTTCTTGTTTTGTTTCAGTAGGAAATCTCTATAAAAACAACCTTCCTCGATTTAATCACATGTAAGTTGCCGAGATATTGCTAAAACGTTGCTAGAAAGTTGCTGAAAAGTTGCTAATTTTTAGCAACTCCCCTCCTTAAGTTTAGCAACCCGTTTCATTCCCTTAAATGGCCCAAAAGCCATTTATCGCTTTTATATTCATGACGCGGCTGCCTTTTGTATTTTTTCCTTGTTCCATCCAACTAGAATTCCTATAAAATAGGAATTCAGTTGTCTGATTTCCTTAAAACTTTAGTCTTTCCTTTCCTGTTGATAACCCAACTTGAATAAAGTCAAATGTTTGTTGCTATATTTTAGCAACTGCCTTGTTAATAAAGTGGCTGAGTAACTTTCTCCAATACTTGCTCCTGATATTTCTTAACTGGCTGATTCCCTTGACGCCATGTTAAAAATACTTATCAGCTTTTCATTGGTCCACGTCATCGCTGAGATGGCTGCCAAGTTTTGGTGCCAACAGGTTCAAAACAACTCAAGCTCTGCTCTTTATACTCTTATCTTACCTTACTTAGACAATAAATAAATAAATCAATATATAAAAACACAACAAGGTAATAATATATATATATATATATATTTTACAATGCTAAACTATAATTTAATCTATTTCATTTAAGGAACAGAATACTAAAGTTTGTTAATCACCACCAAAGGGAAAATATAACGGAAATTCGGTGAACATGTGGGAAGGTTTCTTTATTTTCCTTCTTCCACAATCTGGTTATTTAAATTAAGCACTGTACATATATATTTAACTATTGTTTTAAACTTTCTTTCTCATGTGGCTGGTAGAAGCCATAATATAAAATGAATATAAAATCTACATTCATTGAAACAACCAAATAAAGCATTGCAAAAGACTTAAAACAAATATACATATATTAGTTTAATCTAAACTTACCAAACTATTCTAACACCACCTTCCAGGTTTCTTCAGAATAGAAATATAAATCAAACCATTTGCATATATAAATAAATCATCTATGGTATAAATTAATATTAGCACCACAACATAAAAAAATAAAATAAAGTAAAAAATAAATAAATTCGCATACAAATCACCTGCACCACTTGTACCTTTCCTCCACTGTCATCATTGTAATATGTAAACTGAAAGTAATATCAAGATGCTATAAAGCTTTTGATAAGAATGGTAGATGTCATATAATTCTCCATCTGGGATGAAACAGCAAGTGATTGCTCTCATATATGGATCCAAATATTTTACATACCCATGGGACTTGCATGTGATTCATTCATTACCTTACAGTAACCCGTACACTTCTTCAAAATAACATAATCGAATTATTAACCTATAATGTTCAAAAATTTATTTTGCTCTACTTAGAACTTGAGGAGACATTAATATGTAAGATTAGAAAGAAAAGGGCATTCTGACTTAATGAAATTATGTGATTGCTTTTACCGGAACCACACGCAAAGACTTTACCAAAGAGAACTGAGTCTAACAGTTTGCTCATTAATCATGGAGGAATAATGCATCCTCTGAATTCAAAGAATGCCCAATGAATTGTAAATGAGTGGAGGTGTGAGCCCCATAATATGACATCATCTTCCTAGCCAAATTCGGAAGGCGTATCATTTTTCTAATCTATATAGTATTATAGTAGTCATTAATTTATACCCTGGGATGATTTCACTCCCTAGTTTTTGGAATCTTATTTTTATTATATTTCAGTTGATTAGGTGGATCTGTATTTTCTTGTATTGTTCTTTGAGGGTCCTCTTGTCTGTTGGCTTTGTGAAAAGAGTTATTAGAAACTTCCTGCTGAAAATTGAAGTACCTGTTTCCTGTTGGGGCCGTCTCAAGTTCACACTTGCTAAAAATACATTGACTTTGGGCGTGGAAAGAGTTGTTAGGAAACCTCCAGTTGAAAATTGAAATACATGTGGCCTGTTGGCACCTCTCGAGTTCACACCCCTACTATAAATACATTGAAGATCTACTATAAATACATTGCAGATCTTCCTTCAATTCCATTCTCATCCATCAATATATTACACCACACTCGCAACTATAATACATCTTTTTATGTAGTATTCGTTTCAATATATATATAGCTAGTATTTCTGGTGGTTGTTATGCTTGCATGATCATGGCCAAATCCATGACAGAAGTTAGCATTAATCTTGCGATTGTGTTTCTGATCACTACAGTACTAAATTTTGATATAATTGTCTTCTGCAGTGGACATTCTCGTGTGCTTTGCGTGGAGAGTGAGAAACAAGCCCTTATGAGATTCAAGAATCTCAGTGATCCTTCAGAGCGGCTCATCTCGTGGGGTGGTAAATCAAGGGACTGTTGTGAATGGGTTGGAGTTGTCTGTAATAATATAACCGGCAACGTCGAGGAGCTCCGTCTCAGAAATCCTCTTGCGGATTACAGTAGTAGTACAAATGGTGCTGAATATAAAGCTTATAGAAGGTCTGCACTGGGTGGAATGTTAAATCCATCCTTGCTGGATTTGAAGAATCTGAGCTACTTGGACCTAAGTGGCAACTATTTTGATTGGATTCAAATGACAAGCTTCATTGGCGACTTGGTGAGTTTAAAATATCTTGATCTGTCATTTAGTGGGTTCACTGGGAGATTGCCAAGATCCTTTGAAAATCTTTGCAACTTGAAAGAACTTAGGTTGTCAGGTATCAAACTAGGGGGTGATATATTGGAGGTTTTAGACATTTTTTCAGGATGCATTTTAGATGAACTAGAAACTCTAGACTTACGCAGCAATCAACTTTCTGGACATTTTTCTGATGTCGTTAATTTACTTGGACAATCTAAAAAATTGGCTTCCCTTTCTCTATCTAATAATTCTCTTTTTGGTCAAGTTCCATCGTCTTTGGGAAGATTATCGTTTATAAAATATTTAGATCTTTCTGATAATAAGTTGAGTGGACATCTCCCTGAAAGTCTTGGTCAGCTTGCAGATTTGGAAGTGCTTTTAATGTCAGGAAATTTGTTACAAGGTGTAATGTCTGAAGTTCACTTTGCCAACCTCACACAATTACAGTCTCTAGATGGATCTAGAAATCAATTGTTCTTGAGTGTCAGTCCAAATTGGGTTCCTCGATTTCAACTTCAGTCATTAGTATTAAGATCATGCCCATTACAGACACCATTTCCCCATTGGCTTCACTCACAGAAAAATTTAAGGGTTCTAGATATATCCCACACAGGAATTTTTGGTACAATTCCTAGGTGGTTTTGGAATTTATCACCCCAGATTGGCTATTTAAATCTCTCTCACAATCATATCCAGGGAGAGCTTATAAATAAGCCTTTAGTATTTGAGCAATTTGCAACAATTGACCTAAGTTCCAACCACTTAAATGGTACATTACCCCGTTTGTCCCCAGATATCATGTCACTGGATCTTTCCGACAATTCGTTTTCTGGATCTATTTCTCACTTTCTCTGTTACAAGATGGATGAACTTAAGTTACTGCAGCTACTTAATCTAGAAAGAAATCTTTTGTCAGGAGAATTAACCAACTGTTGGGAAAGCTGGTATGGCTTGGAGTTCATAAATTTAAGAAAAAACAATCTAAGCGGCAAAATTCCAAGCTCTATGGGATCTCTAAATTTCCTCAAATCATTGCATCTTCAAAGCAATGGCCTTTCTGGAAAATTACCTCCGTCTCTGCAAAATTGTACTACATTAGTGTCTATTGACTTTGGTGAAAATGAATTTTCAGGAAGTATACCCACATGGATAGGAGAAAGACTTCCGAATCTCAAGATTCTTATCTTACGATCAAATAAGTTTCATAGCAACATTCCTAAGGAACTTTGTGGACTTGGTTTCCTTCAAATCTTGGACCTTGGTCGTAACAATCTTTCGGGAAGTATACCAACATGTTTCATGAATTTGAGCGCTATGGCCATACACCAAAACTCAAGTGAGCAAATGTCATACAAGCCTGCTTACCCTGCAATCTCATTTGAAGGTTTTTTGGAGAATGCAGAATTGGTGATGAAACGACAAACGGTTGGATATAGCACCATTCTTCACCTAGTTACAAGCATGGATCTTTCAAGTAACACCTTATCAGGAGAGATCCCTAAGGAATTGATGAGTCTTCAAGGGCTTCGGTCATTAAATTTGTCATCTAATCTTTTGACAGGAAGGATTCCTGAGAATATAGGTGTTGTGGAACAATTAGAATCTGTCGATTTCTCTATGAACCATCTTTTTGGTGAAATCCCTTCAAGCATGTCAAGTTTGACATTCCTAAGTCACTTGAACTTGTCCTACAACAATTTGAGTGGGAAAATACCATCAAGCACTCAACTTCAAAGTTTTGACGCATTCAGTTTTGTTGGAAACAGTTTGTGTGGACCTCCAGTTAATAGCAACTGCAATGTATATGATACAACATCTGCTGTTAAAAATGTTGAAGGAAGAAAAGGTGATACATTTGAAGTGGACTGGTTCTATGCGACCATGGCACTAGGATTTGTGGTGGGCTTTTGGGGTGTAGTTGGCCCATTTCTGTTTAACAATTCATGGAGATTTGTATGTTTTCAGTTCATGGATAGCATCTGGTATAGGTTTTGTGGTGTTATATGTACATGTGGATAATACAGCAACATCAATAAGAAGTGCAAACCGTTATTTTTCAATATAACAATCTATGATTTTGTTGTGTCTTCCTTTTACATCAAAATTCCTATCAACAACAACAACAACAACAACAACAATAATAATAATAATAAACAATAGCAAGAACAATGTTAAGTACCCTAAAGAGGGATTTCAAACCAGCAGGTTGGTTGCACAAAGTTGAAATTACTATATGTTTGTAGGGCTTTGACTTCTCAATTCAATTGGACATTAGGAGATCACTTTACATGTGATTTCATTAGCATGATGATGGTAATTCAAAGAGTCTCAAGTATTCCATCTTTCACGACCTGCTAAAACTGAATAGTCTATTAAAATAGTCATGACGAAACAGAATCGAACCAAATTTTAAGGCTGTCTTGCTTGTAATTAGCCTCCAAACTGAACCAAACTGGACCATGTGAAATTACGACCTACTACACCACCTAATGTAATCATAATTGTATAATTTAACCTACTATAATACCAAATATTATCCTTTTATAAAGCTATATTTTTATTCTAGAAATCATCTTAAATATAATTGGGGTCCTAGGACACTCAATTAGTGTATCTTCTTTCCCCCTCAAGAAAACATCTTAAATATGCAACAGCAGGATCGTCATCTTGAAATTGAAAAGCCTTGATCTTGTTGTCCATCTTGTCGTGGACAAGGATCATTGTACTGTTAATATGGGAACCATGAAAACTATGTTGCCAATTACCTTCTTGATGGTTCCTTAATAAACCAATTTTTTTGCTTTCCTTAATAACCCATTTCTGATTATTCTACCTCAATTGGCCTGTTGATTCTATCTAACCCTCTCAATTTCTCATGCATGTCTTTCAACTTGTTCAAGCCTTTCGTATATCATTGTACCTAAATTTCGCAATGTCAAGTGGTGTAGGAATCATACTAAAATTACCACTTCAATACCAACTGATATAAACCTCTTAGTAAAATAAAATAAATAAACAGAAAATATAAACAGAGGTAGAAGAGCCCACCAAAATCATCTGGCAACAACCTCTTAAAGGCAAAATCCCTTTGTTTTAAGAAACTGATTTCTTCTTATTTTCATCAACAAACCAAAATATATATATACACACGCATACGAGCTTAAAATTTTATATTCCAAAGAAATGATAACCCTTTAAATAATCTAATCCAATAATTGGATAATTTTGTATGCATACATAATAATACCCAATATGAACAAAATCCACTAACTAAAGCTTTCACAAACAGATCATATGATTAATTATAGAAAAAATTACAAATAATCGAATCTGATCAATATAAAATTTAGCAAGCATAGATGTATCATTACGAAAGAGAATGCACAAGCGAATCAGAAATTGACGCAGCTAACAAAAAATTCTAAAAATCAATTTGAACAATAAGTTCGAAGAGACATTACCTAGTTTTCTTTCTGAGCAATTGAAAGATCAATCCATTGATACTGCTTACAAAAACCCTAACTTCTGAAGAGAGAAACGTTCGTCAGAGAGCGCCGTGGATAGTCGTGACGATGTAAGAGAGAGTTTCGGATTTTCATTTTTGAATCCAGCACCGGTTTATATATCAGGTCTCTTATTTTCGCGGGAGTCCGTAAAAATTGGCCCATGGGTTGGTGTACAATGACGAGGGGAGGTGCTGTGAAAGAGGGGCTTTTACTGCACAACTAATGATCAATTGGAATTGGCGTATATAGGTCTGAGTGTCCGATGCCAGATGCCAAATGCCAATGCGTAGTAGTTGGGTTGCTCCCATTATTTTTGGAGCTAGACTTTAAGTATTTTTACCTTTAATTCTTAATTTAATATTTTTTTTTTGTCAAACCAAAAAAAAAATTCGGAATGTCAATTGGGACTTTCCTTTTTCAAACACATCCCCCTATGAAAATATTTTGATTTTTGAGCTCTTCAAGGATAACTCCTTATGTTTTTCTCTGGAGGACAACTCCTTATGTTTTTCTTTTTTGACACTGTTTTTCAATTCCATGTAAGAGCTTGCATGGTTGTCTCAATTAATATTTGCTTGCGTTTCCATTAATATTTCTTGAAACACATATTATAGTTTAAGTTTTGGTACCTAATGTTGTTTCATGTGCTTTTTGCGAGTTGGTTCAAGTTGCACATGAGAACACACAAACAACCCCGTACACACATTAACTTAGGATTCGCGTTTCTTCAAGTTCCTTGTTTATATGTATTTGAAAATTTTCAAATACATCTTATACTAGTTAACCCTTATTATGGCATTTCTATTTGTCATGTCGAAAAGTTCTATATCCTTTTAGTAATGATTTAATTAATTATTTATTTTAGGATAAAGTAGAACAATACTTCTTGAGGTTTAGAAAAGGACACTCAGATGAAACTTATTTTATTTTGGGAAAAATGGCACCCCCTGATGATATTTGCAAGCCAAACAGAATCTTAAAACATGTAAAAAATCAACATTACATTTCACTATTTTATTAATTTTAATTATAAAATATTAAAATAATTAAATGATCAAATTACCCTCAACACCCAATCAATCCTACAACCAGATTTTGGGCTGCCACCACACCAAACTCCACAACCACCAACACATAATCGCCCTCACAACCACCACCATCCCCACCCCCACCCCCACCCCCACCCCCAAACCACAGCCTTCATCTTCGAGCTCTCCAACGAAAGGGAAGGATCAAGCTTTTGGTCTATCACCGGTGGAAATATATGCTTTACTTCTGGGTCTACAACGTACCAAGCCCAATCCTTCGACTTCGCCGCCACAAATATCCAACGCAATTGATCCCTATTTTCCCAATTCATTCAGTTAATACCCCATCTTTCTCTCGTGTTTTCCCAATTAAGCATCCAATATGGTACCTACGCAAGCAAAAGCCTTACACACACACATATATCACCACCACAAATCAACCCCACTTCATATACCGCCGCCGCCATCACACCTCAACTGCCACTCCATCATCATCATCAAATGAACCACAACACTAAAAATGGAAGACAAAACTACAAAAAATGGACCGGCGAAGAGAGACCCAGTTCGGTGAGCTTACCTAACACCGGAGTACACAAGTCACGCGTTGGGCTCAACGGTGGCGGTGGTAATAGTTGTTCGACGAGGGCGGTGGTGAGTGCTCTCGCTACTCGGTTGATTCTCTATGTCTTCAGCAACGACATCAAGACGGCGCTCAAAATTGGAGCCATCAGTCCGACGAAGCTTCAAACTACAAGACCCAGTTCTGTCCAGCGAGCCCCAAATCCGGTGAAGCTTAGTTCAGACCGACGGACCCCAAGCACGAACAGTTCCCACGACCCAGAAGCTTACCCATCATCTCTGACAAATCTCATCATCTCTGCACAACTCTCTCTTTCTTCCTTCGTTTACCAAATCAATACTCCATTGAAGACCATCTCTCTTTCTTCCTCTGTTAACCAAATCATTGCTCCATGGGTCGACGGAATTGAAGGATGAAGGCTGCAGATTCATTCACCATCACCGCCTGTATATACATATATATGTATGTGTGTATATGTGTGTGTGTGTGTTAGTGTTGGGGTGGAGGAAGAGAGAACTGAGAGGAGAGAAGGAAAGAAATGGAAATGGGACTCTGAGGTTAGAAACATCAGTTCATGGTTAATATAAAACTCAACGGGTAAAAATGTCAATTCATTACTATTGGGATGTTTTTGGTAACCGTATCAAACTTGAGAGGATGTCTTTGTCTCAAAATAAGTTAAGTTTCATCGTAGTATTCTTTCAACAAACCTCATGAAATATTGTTGTATTTTACCCTTTATTTTAAAGAGCATTTCTTGAATTGATTGTTTAATTTCTGGGATTTCATCAAATAGCACAATGTAAGCCTTGCGCGTGCTGATATTTGTGAAAAAGATTCCATGTTTTACTTTTCTAAGGGCTTTCTCTACGTGGAAGAATCATAAGCTTTGACCCAAGCAAACCCTGCGGGCTTCTAAATCGGTTGATGTGGGACTTGGGCTTAGCCCATTCAGTAGTGTTTAATAGTGGTTATAATCTGATTGGGTGAAATAGAGTGTGGTTTGGGCTAAATGGGTGTGACCAACCAATGTGACTCTTACCCAAACAGTTCAAATCGAACCCAATTAATTGTGCCCCCAGGTTTTTATTTAATTGTTTTATTTATTAAATATGCATGATTAACTTTATGATACAAATAGATTACTCAATTAATTGTTGTGTACAGTTATTTATCTCATAAGCATGGTAGTATAATAATTGTTTTATCTTAAATTTCTTTTGAAGCATAAATTTTCAGAATACTGATTTTGATTTGCTTTCAAAAGAAAAAAAATATTTTTTTATATTTAAATTCATAAACCGGTTTATTTTATTATTATATTATTTTTGGGCTCATATACATTCATTGTAGGCTCCATTGAACCCAGTCCAAACAACCAAATTTTTAACTCATAGGTGCAATCAACTGTTACATTTTTCAAAATAACTTTGTAAGATCTCCAAAAATATGACATGGTTTCTGATATTGATGGGACATCATTATTTTCAGAATTACAAGTCTTAAATTTTACCAAGAGGAACAAAAAAATGTAATTGAAGTATTTGATTTTATAAAAAATTAACTTATTATTTCCAAATACTTGAATTGCATATTATTGACTTTCCCAATTACAGTTGCATGTGCTAAGTGAAGTTTTTTAAAATTGAAATTGATCAAATCTAACCTACGGTTGACGATGTCATAAGAGAGATTGAATGGATTGACTATGATATTTATTAAAAAAAAGATATGTTGGAAAACCTTGATTGGAACACTTTAATTGATAATTTTGTAACTCAAAATGTAAGACGATCACATTTACTTTTATATGAAGTTGAATTTTGATTTTTGTGACTAAATTGTGCTGAGTATTTATTTTGATTTTTTGATGTAAACTGGACCGTACTCTTTATAAAGTAC